GTACAGCTGATGTCACCCTAGAGTTAAGAAGAATTACATAATACTAGTAGTATACAATATCTATGGTTGCATACAAAATATCCGGGGCATTCTCATTCAGTAAACAATTGAATAGTTTATTTTAGGATAAGTTATTTTCAGAATAATCACCGTGTGAGTATTCAATAAGCCGTTGGGAACTACGCCCCGCGAACTTTCAAATAGTTGCGGATGTATTTTTGGGAACATCAAAGGGAAATGTAGACTGGAATGCGGACCAGCATTCCTACTACGCGACAATGTTGTCGGTTCTAACCTGGGGCTCTACGCAAATGACGGAGATATTGGTGTGGAAGCTGAGCTTGTGAGGAAATAAAGATGCAAAATGATATGTGTAGTACCACAGTACCGTACTAGAGAATGCTATGACCAGAGACAATAATGATTTGGATATTTAATAATTTGGACATGGATATTTTGAAATTACAAGCTTCGAAGAATTAAAGCAAACATGTTAATTCAAAATGTAAACAATTAATCTTAATTTGCTCTATCTAAATGCTTTTCTTACCTACTCGGGATTTACCGAGTCAATGAAAATACCTTTTACAATATAACAATATAGGGCCTACTATTTATGTATCTGAAGGACAAATAAGTAAACTTCTGTTATAATCGAAAGGGGTTTTACTATGGTATTAGAATAAAATGGGGAATGTGCTTGTGGCCTAGGCTATGCTGACTTGAATAAAGTTAATTCAAAGAATTATTTGTCGAAATTAGGTTTGTTTACAAATAACGGCAATGAGAAAATGTTTAGAAGAGAAAGCTCTTATCTTATAGTCAGAAACTAAACTTTGTCATTAGAAGAGACAAATTCAATCAACATTCTTCGTCGTTTTTATTACAGAATTTTGCCTTCTGAGCAACATTTATGCACAAGACATGTCTGATACGCATCGTTAAAAGCCTACGTTTATTGGAACGAGTTCGCGAACCAGCATGATCGGACTGGGTACGGGGGTTTTATGATGAGACATTTGTTTTGTCTTTATAATTTTTGGTCTTCTAAACAGATAGACAAAAATTGGGAAGAGTTTTGTATGATAGTGACGGAGAACATTTGAAATTGCCAGGTTATTTGTTTAGAATAAGTAAACTGCTGTAGTTTGCTTGTTTATACTTACTTACTTGTACTTGTAATACTTGTAGTTTCCGTCCGTAGTCCAGGGCAGGAATTGGACAGGTCAATAGGTTAAGGTATAATAATAATAAAAAATAACTTATAATAAGAAAATGTATTATAAGTTATGGATATATTTTGATATAACTTCCATTATATTCATTTTATTCTAAGCTATTACTATTTTGCTAAAAACGCACTTCATTGCCTTCCCTGTAGCAACCAAAAGTTATTTAAATAGGGAATAAATCCTTTTAAATTTCAGGAAATATTTGATAGAAAATCGAATCAGGCAAATGGAGTTTAGCAATATGGACAAATTTGGTCCATCAGGGGTATTGCTTATTCTCTTAACTGTTCCTAGGCCACTTGAAAGCTGGCTTGTGGCGCCACAATGTTAGCAGAATCACATTACATTATATGGCTATCTACAAACTTTGACCGGTGACGGAGACTTATATGAATGAAGCCTCCGCTGTAGTGGCCTATGACCTTGACCTTACCTGATAACAGAGTCCGCGGAGGTGTCCGTCCTCAATATGTGACCTTGTATTGATAAAGCTCTGATGAATGATTCTCAAACTGTTGAATGGAACTGTTTAAACGCCACATTAGTTTTAAATAACCAAGCTGTTTCTGCTTGTTTATTTGGGCACGTCTGAAGTGCGCCCATCCCCAGGTCATTAGTAGGGGTTACCCCATCCCTCTCGAACAAGTACGCCATTTCCAGTCAGGCAAACGAAATATGCTTACTGGGTTCTTTTGCTTAGGTATTAAAGAATATTGTCATTTAAAGTTATAGACCTATTGAGTATTTATTTTATGTAATGATTAATGATTATCTTTATAAACGTTTGTACCCAACTATGCGAGAGTCGTGTGGTTGTATATATTTCATGTACGCATATCTCTTGTTTTTATTTGATTTAGAATTACTTGTACAGTATATAGATATTTAATGTTTTGAGTATTATATTGATATTGTAACATTAAATACTCAAATTAAATACTGCAGGATCTAAGGATTAAGGAATATGTCGGCCTTAGTCACAAACAAGACTATAAGATCGTGCCACTCATCCTACACTCATCTCCATTCATAATTGGCTTAAAATACCTTGTCCATTTCAATGAAAAGTATAAAAAGTATTAACTCAATAAATGATAATTTATTAACTGAGAATTACCGATCAAAAAGAAACATTGTTGAACATAAAAAGATTGAAATTTGAATGAATGTTTATTGTCTACTAGCTGGCCCGACAGACGCCGTCCTGTCCTAATGTGGTTTTATGTCAAATGCTCGTTCATTTTCAAGATGAGCTCTTTCGCTTGGCTCAATCACGTCCTGGTTTAAGTTGAGGCTAGCTCGTTCGCTACGCTAACTCGCCTCCAGGTTGAAGTTCGTTCGCTACGCTCACTCACCTTTTGGTTGCAAATTAGCTGTTCTCATAAATTAAAAATAAATATAGTGCTGCACCCTGTTGGTAAACCTATTAACTTTTTAATGCTATTGAACATCACAGAATCAAATTGTTTAGTTGAACCAGCTGTTAAGATTCTTTAATTCCATTTAAATATGAGTACTCATAAGGTTAACATGGTAAACTCCAGAGCCACTGGGGCGGAGCCCTATTGACGGATCTGCACCAAACTTCACACAAACCATCCTTGAATAATGCTTAATAATGCCTGAAAGTTTCATTACAATCCGTCGAGCGGTTTTGGAGTCCATAAAGGACAAAAGTATAAAAAGTATTAACTCAATAAATGATAATTTATTAACTGAGAATTACCGATCAAAAAGAAACATTGTTGAACATAAAAAGATTGAAATTTGAATGAATGTTTATTGTCTACTAGCTGGCCCGACAGACGCCGTCCTGTCCTAATGTGGTTTTATGTCAAATGCTCGTTCATTTTCAAGATGAGCTCTTTCGCTTGGCTCAATCACGTCCTGGTTTAAGTTCAGGCTAGCTCGTTCGCTACGCTAACTCGCCTCCAGGTTGAAGTTCGTTCGCTACGCTCACTCACCTTTTGGTTGCAAATTAGCTGTTCTCATAAATTAAAAATAAATATAGTGCTGCACCCTGTTGGTAAACCTATTAACTTTTTAATGCTATTGAACATCACAGAATCAAATTGTTTAGTTGAACCAGCTGTTAAGATTCTTTAATTCCATTTAAATATGAGTACTCATAAGGTTAACATGGTAAACTCCAGAGCCACTGGGGCGGAGCCCTATTGACGGATCTGCACCAAACTTCACACAAACCATCCTTGAATAATGCTTAATAATGCCTGAAAGTTTCATTACAATCCGTCGAGCGGTTTTGGAGTCCATAAAGGACAAACATACAAATATACAAACATACAAATATACAAATATACAAACATACAAATATACAAATATACAAACATACATTGGATTTTATATATATAGATTAATTTAATATTTATTAATGTTTAATATTGATTTAATATTAGTATAGGCCTATATTATACAGGGTGAGTCTTCTAAGCTGTCCTAAACAGATTACAGACGAACGGCTTGACATACAGAGATGAAACAAAACTTTTCCCCACTAATTCATACCCAAGGAACAACGTAAAAATATATTTACAATTTTTAAAATACGTGTTCAAGAAACTGGGGGTCATGGGTTCGAATCTCAGAGTTTTCAAATGTAAACATATGTCATGTTATGCATCATTTTAAAGCTCTACACTAGACAAACAATTTAGTGAAAACAGAACTCATTTATCTTTGTCCGTTTCAAAATGGCGGCCATTTTTATAAAAAATATTGATACTTACAGAATACCACTGTATCTTGACAACCACTAAACTTATTTTCGTTCTGTTTGAAAATTCTTAATCCTCGTAGGTTCAGCTTTAATTTGATATACGACAAGTCAACATTTTAAAAACTAAATATTTTTTCTATGATTTTAATTTTTTTTTGTAGCCTTGTAAATTAAAATTTTTAAATGGCATCATTTGTAAAATTGTGTATCATTTTTAAGCTCTTGTAAAAACAAACAACTTTTAAATTTAAACCTACCGTCTATCTTTGGTCGTTTTCTAGTGATTAACGAAAAACTCCAATTGCCCATATAAAACTCATGTTAAACGCACAGTATCATGGGAATAGTGTATCTGCATCCACTAATCTTCAGTACTGCACGTTCTGGACAAAGATAAATGAGTTCTGTTTTCACTAAATTGTTTGTCTAGTCTAGAGCTTTAAAATGATGCATAACATGACATATGTTTACATTTGAAAACTCTGAGATTCGAACCCATGACCCCCAGTTTCTTGAACACCCTGTATTTTAAAAATTGTAAATATATTTTTACGTTGTTCCTTGGGTATGAATTAGTGGGGAAAAGTTTTGTTTCATCTCTGTATGTCAAGCCGTTCGTCTGTAATCTGTTTAGGACAGCTTAGAAGATTCACCCTGTATACTCAGGATTGGTAGAACATAGAAATGTTTTGAAAAAAGTTCTTTTGTAGCAAATTCATTGGTATACCTATTATTTTTGCTGGACAAATGTTATGTAGTCTTAAAATTTATGGGATTTTAGTATCTCTTTTTCTCTGGTTGGAGCATTTACCCTTTACAGCTCCTCCCCCCCCCCCTCTGTAAAATGGTCAAACTCCTACGATGAATCCCAACATCTTTTGTCCAAACTGCTAAAAATTAAACAAACCAAATAATGTACTAGTTAACTTGACTTTTATTTTATCATATTTACTGTTTGTATACTCTGAGGAAAATATGGTCATTAGTTTATTTATCAGTATCATGTCAGTATATGACTATTGTTGTTTCAGAAATCTGGCCATAGGCATAGGACTGCAGAACTTTCCTGAGGGTCTGGCTGTCAGTCTGCCTCTGAAGACAGCTGGCTTCTCAACCTTCCGCAGCTTCTGGTGAGTTGATATAAATATGATTGTCTACGTGGCCGAGTAGTTATAGTGCTTTTTTCAAATCTGAAGGCTACTGGTTTGATTACAAGTGGTATCAATTCTGGATACATTTGTCATTGGGCCATAAAGTAACGGTGCCGTGCTATCCAACAAAGATTGACGTTAGATACTATCAAGACAAAAAATACCAACGGTATACATTCCCTATTTAGGTCTGTTGGGAAAACACAGTGCTGCAAACCCAACGTCACAAAGTTCATTATAGCCTAAACAGTTCAACTTATTGTTTTGCAAAGCTGCCGTTCCTTGTAATTTTAAACTGTCGCTATTTTGCCTGGTGAACCTTTTCAGGTCAGGTTTGCGGTCATTTGTTCTCTTGATTTTGCATTATCTGTAATTGTTCAACAAATCAAATGCAGCACCCCGAATTTAGTTGTTTAGTAATCAAACATTTAAAAAAAGCATACACATCTACTCGTTAACGTTACGGGAAGGGAGTAAAAACATTGACTATAGTGTTACAACACTAGTGTTATATAGTCAATTCCCGTAACGTTTTAGATGTATAATATACATATCTTGTAAATTTTAATTGAACTTGGTCATTTAAAGCAGACTTTTCAGTAACTAGCAGATTTTTTAAATGTGTGGAGTAGATGTGTAGGCTTTTTTTAAATGTTAACTATATAACATTTAACATATAACACTAGTGTTAGCCTATTATAGTCAATGGTAAAAATATGTCTAATAACACTCGAAATATATATTTTTACATACCATCTTTACCAAGTTTGACACAAGTAAACTTCTCATCCCATTGTAAAGTTTGAAGCTTGTTTTTCATGTCTAGTTCATGTTGGTGACACTGATCGCTAGTGTTGATAAAACTTTGTTCCTATTATTTTTTTATTATTTTTTTTTTTTTGTTAATTTAATGATTTGTGCTTTACTGTTGTATAACTAGGGACGAGTTATTGCTTATTATTATATTGTTTTATTTGATAAAACGAGGTTTTAAAAAACTAAAGTAACAAGAAACAAATTGTAAACAAAAACATGATTCCATTGTCACCCTACAGAACTAACAATAAAACTGTCTTCAGCAGCTGATCCATAAAGATACAAATCTACCAAGGAAGTATGTTTAATCTATGATTATAGTATTATCTCATGTCACTAGATCTAGTTTTATCCACCACCCATATTTTAAACTGAGATAATTGGTTTAGATTAGTCATTTGTCAAAAATAATAAGACCAGGAACAATTTTAGCTCTACTAAATAAAGCCTTGCCTACAAGTTGACGGACTAATAACGAAACACAGTGATAATTTAGGAATTTAACTAAATGATGTATGTTTTATTATGTTTGTTTAATTGTTAGGTATGGCCAGCTGAGTGGCATGGTGGAGCCTGTGGCCGGTCTGATAGGAGTCTTGGCCATTTCTCTGGCCCAGCCTCTGCTGCCCTACGCCTTGGCCTTTGCTGCTGGGGCAATGATCTACGTAGTCTTCGATGACATCATTCCAGAAGCTCATTCAAGGTTTGTACTGCAAGACAATGTTATGAAAGTTAAATGATTATTTAACCACATAAATTTCTAAACACATCTCTGACGAATTTTTGATTTTTGAAGAAAAATGATTGTATTGTTGAACTGGTGAAAATACAGCAAAGCACTTAAGGAATACATCTTTGGACAAAACACAATTAAACTGAATTGCAGTAGACTCCCTCTTATCCGGACTCCTCGAGACCGAGGCCAGTCCGGATAAAAGGTTTTCCGGTTAAACTGACGTCCCAAAAAACTTGTAAAAACAGACTGTTTACTGTGATATTCGACTTAAATTTAGGAGAGCATTGTATTTAGACACGTGATCACGGGTCTCAAACCTTTCCCACTAGAACAGTCGTTTCAGTACTGCCCACTTCCTGCCGATCTAGTCAAGTTAAACCAATGTGCTGATAAAAATTGTCCGGTTAAGAGATGTCATTTCCGCCGAGTGTAGTCCTTCTATAGTAGTCTTTCTACATCCAAAACATTTTGTGGATATTAAAAGAATAAATCATTTAGTATAATAAAGCCTTGTTGTACGTTTAATGGTCGCAGAGAGAATTCAACAAAACCATTAATTTAAAAATTTTTGTTATTCTCATGGAGAAAAAGTAAACTGTTTTGGTTTGCTTACTTATGGATTTACAGTATTAATCATATTTGGCAAATTTCTTTCTTTCATACTAAACTTTCTCTAAAAACATACTGTACTACCATCCCTGTAGCAGCAAATCTAAGGCCAGGGCCAGACGAGGTGTATCATCCGTGTATTCAGACAACACATTGAATCAAATGGGAGTGGCTACACGAGGGGAAGTTAAGCCGCGATGGAGGGATGACACACACAGTCTTATGAGAGAGAACATACGATACGGATTGACTACGTGATTGGAGCTCTTCTTCCGTAAAGGCCGCTACACACACTAGTACATCGCTTATCAACCAGAGCGATCTGGTTGACGAGTGACTAAGTTGATGGTTGAACGTTTTATTGCTGGGGGCCACAGAATAGGATATCAAACACTTTCAATCAAGCAGGAAATCAATTAAAATTTGGTGGGGATAGACATTGTGTTTGGTTCTGGTTCGAGCTTAGTTGCACTTAAGCCTACCTAAGTGTGTACCTAAGAGACAACACCATGCCCGCCGACGAAGAGGAAATAGCTGCCGAAGTTATGATTATGTTTAATTTTGGGAAGCAGAGAAGAAGAAAGGAATTGTTTAGAAGATTTTGGGTTAAAGGTTGGCTTCAACGTAGTAATAGTTACAACCACATAACACTCCTACGAGCTTTAAGGCTTGAAAATTCTCAGGATTTTAAGAACTATTTACAGATGACAGGTGACAGTTTTTGTCATACTTAGCAACCAGTGACGCCCGTGACACCTCACATTGAAAAAAAAGGACGCCAGATTGAGACTTTAGCATGATTTCGTTTTGTCAGTTCATTTTTAGTTGTATTGCGCATGCCCAAGCCGTCTTTAGTTGATCAACTTAATCGCTGAACCCTACACACCTTTGTTTTTTTGAGAATTCTCATTGCCCGGCGATAAAATTGATTGATCCGCAACACTGGAAACCAAAATGTCGCCTGGCAACCTACAAATCGCCGTCAATCTGATTGATAGGCCCCCGCACACACGGCGATATTTGTGCTATTTGGTCGCACGTCAACCAGATCGCCGGTTGATAAGCGACCGGGTGTCCTAGTGTGTAGCGGCCTTAATATTTGATATGGACAAGTTAATAGAACTGGTTGAAGACAAGCCATGTTTGTAAGACAAAAAGCTCAACAAAACTTGGAGAGACGCTGCCAGGAAAAGGCGTGGCTTGAAATTTCCGAATTATTTTATGAAGACTAGGAATTATCATTGGGAATCGCATGTGCTCGTAAAAGGTCTGAAACACAAATGGTTTATCTGTTATGAAGGTATGAACCCATTGATTTCTGTTAACCTTTGGTTCCAGCTCACCACACGCTTCTAATGCACTAACTAATATAAGCGTTTTGTACAAGACTACAACGAGAGAATGAAACCCGGTTTTAATATAGTACGTAGGCTGGGAAAACCCAACAGGAAGCGGTTCATCCACTCCGCATGGCCAGACACCGACCGTGCGGCCATATTGTTGTTAGCAACTGTTGCAAACTTCAATACCATAGTTGTATAGAGAAGTAAGGTACAGAGGAAACTTGCTTATGGGACGACTGTGCGCTTTCAGCTCTAGTGTGTTGTGTCAGAAATATACTTGTGAGGGAACAGGGTCTTCCTCCACTGTGAGCGTTGTAGTACATGAGGGGGTTTGGACCTTACCCTAGACACCAGCGACTAGTGCTAGACACCTCTTGAGTGTACCATTGAATGTTTCCTCTGTACCTTACTTTACTTCTCTCTTCTAGTGGTTATGGGAATAAACCTTTTGAATTGCTTAACAATGAAATAAATATGTGATATTATAAAGTATAACCCGCTAATCCGAGACTTATGAGACTGGAACCATGGTCGGAACAATGAAAAGGTCGGATTTTCCAAGGAGCATATTTAATGACCAAATTAATTGCTTAACTGGCATTTATTGATTGCGGAAGATGATGATAATGTTCCTGTAACCACAGAGACGATTAGCCACGATTTGATTTAGCCATGATCATGGGAGAATACAATGACGTTTCCTTGACTCTTGGACTCAATCAATACTTTAGCACTATACCAGAAGATAGTTGTTTCCGTAATAGCGGGAAATGTTCAATGATTTGCCTGAATTGCAGGATACGAAAATGATGGGTCCTTTACCGCAGGGTATATTAATAAGTTTGCCACGATCATAGATGGATCATTAACAACAATAAAGTTTCCGTGATTGCTGGGGACAATTATGATGTCCTTGTAAGTTCAAGAGATGGTTAATATTTTGTCACAATTGCAAAAGACGATAAGATGTCTACCAGATCGCAGAATGGTTGGGATATTGCCACGATCGCCCAAGACATTGATGATCTTTTCCGTGACCATAGGATTTGTCTAGGATTTTTTCACAATTGTGATCATGTATTTTCTGACCGTAAGAGACGTTCAATATTTTCCCATGATTGCGGAGGATGTGGAAGAATGTTTCCATGAACTCGAAAAACGATGATGTCGGATTAGCAGTGTTCAACTGTAAACAATTTGTTCATTAAAAAAACCCTGAAAAAAACACCTACTAATCTTAACATGTTTCATCATTTATATAATCTAAATAAAGAAACAGGCCTATTTGTCATGTTAAATGGTTAATTAGAATTATGGAAATAAATTATATAATGTTACTTCTACTCTAATTTACAATTAATTAGCCTAACAATAATTGTCTGTAGGGATAAAAACTTAATTAAATTCATACAAAACAGCAGGTGTGAATTTGATATGGTAATTAAAATTGTTAGTGTCAGTGAGCCTAACAGGCAATTAATTGTATATGATTACACTATGGGATGGACTTCAGATAATGTTGATTTGCGTTTTACATGCAAACATTGAGTGTTGTACAAGACTTGGATCCTAATGATTTGTCTGACGCACGCACACAATGGAAAAGTGCTATATACAGTATTGAGGATTGAGTAGGTGTAACAAATTTCTGTGGACGATTCTATTACCATATTCTTTGTGCTGGGACCTAGGTCTAGAATTGCTCTATTGTTTTTAATTAGTGACCCTAAAAGCCAATAACATAATGAGTTGAATTTTTTTACTCGCTGTAGGCCTACACAAGAACTCTTGTGAAATTCCTATCGTTCATGAAAATTAAAAGTTTTTGAATATATTAGTGATCAAATTCATTCTGGACCAAGGGAAGACTAGTAGGGTTTTCAAATCAAGATTCAAGGCTTTTCAAACACATTTCTGAATAAAAAAAAAAATTACAATCAAATTTGCATAAAAAAAATTAAATTTTAATTTACAACCGATTATTTTTACTGTACTATCATTTACCAAGCTACTAAAAGTGCTGAATCATAGTCTTCTCTAATACACATAAAATTACTGTACCTTTAATAATTCTATAATCTTCTGTGCTAGATGAGGCTACGGGTTGAATCTTTGTTTGAATGCAATATGTTGTCTCCCATCCATATAGAGAATAAATGAACTACTGAAAATGGCGTATATAAGGATATATCTTACTGATTTTTATGATTTGTTATTATATACTGTACTTATTTTTTCTGGTTAAAAAAATGTAATTGAATTAGCCTACTAAGGTTTTTGTTCTTCAACAGAGATTTAAAAGCTCAGCGAAAAAGTTTTCAAAAACATTTCTTGCCGATTTTTTATTGTTAGCATATATAACCTTTTGACTAACTAAAATTCTGTAAGTTTTTATGCTAATGATACTGTGACCAAACAATATAATTGACCTACCTCACATAATTATTTATGGGTATATAAACTGTGTTTGTCATATTTAAATCTTGTCATAACTCATAGTAGGCTTATGAGTATTTGAATTCATAAGAAAGTTAATATAAATTAACTTTACAGTTGTGTTTGTTCTATAATGGAAGTTTTTAAGTAGGACTGATAAAAACACAGGATGACAAAACGCCAAATATTATCGATGTACTACTAAGTTACCTTTATTGAACATTTAAACGGTAAGAATTGTTATTGACAATGAGTTTACAAAGAGTGTAAAGCAGAAAGCTAAAATAACAGTAGTTTTTAGGGAGAATTGTATTTGCCATTTAAAGTTCAACCAAATCAGGGTTATAGTTAGTTGTCCTGATCCTTAGAATTGTTTTCAGTTCAAAGGTTCACTTAGTTTGGAAGATCTGTATTAAGATAGCTCAATCACTAGGCACATGCTAACACTAATTTTCGCTTATTGGAAAAAAGTGTGAGAGAGGTGACAGGGTATCAGGGTATCCAGTCAACCAGAGCACTGAGAATTGTACTTGAATTCTGTACGGACCAAGGACTACAATGATCACAAATAGCCAATAA